CCGTCCAAGCGGCAGGCCCCCTCAGGGGGCCCCGCCCACACCTCCGCAGACAGTGAACATCAACAGCAGGACCGAGCGTCTTCGCGTGACTCCCTCTCGGTTGCACCACATCAGAACCGAGAGCAAGTCAGTCCAAGCATGGCGGTCATGTTTCAGGGAAAAATAAATCAAGCATAAACAACATTAACAGAGAGGGAAACTCGGAGGAAACCAACAGTTATTGTGAGAAAGGTTAATATCACCGTAGACGAAACACAGGGTACTTCTCTGTAGATAGCCCGCTCAAGGGCAAACGGTGAGGAATGTCATGTGAGGATATCAGAGATTGTAGACAGGGAAGGGGTAATCCACAGCTGATACCAATTGTGACCCGTCAATCATCAACAGATCGCATTATCACAAAAACCATATTTCCAGGGCCGTCTCCATGGAGCCATAGGGAGACCGAAGAACACCAAAAAAGAGAGTAGGTAGGACCCGAATATGGGTACCCTCAGGCCAACTAAGTTTCCGATGAGGAAGAAGGATCAGCAGCTCTTCGTGCCCGGGTCGGGGCAGCCTGCGAGGACCGGGATCTGGAGCGTGAAGGCCTCTGAGGTAGTGGTGGCGGCCTGGTAGCATCCGATATGTACGCCAGCCAGTCTTCAGGTGGTGAGATCTCCACATCTAGGAAGGCAGATAGGCCCGGGACATCGCCCGGGCATCAAAGCTGGTAGGTAGCATCCCCCTTGCGGATTAACAACTGAGAGGGATAACCCCAACGGATGATAACCCCGCCCGGATGATCTGGTCCAGGAGCAGGCGTAGAAGGGCCCTGCGTGTGAGGGTGTTGCGGGAGAGGTCCGGTAGTATGTGGATCTGAGCCTCATCAAATTCCAGCGGCCGGCGGAGCAAACCCGCCCTGAGGATTGCCTCCTTCATGGTGAAGTAGTGCACGCGGCATATGACATCGCATGGGCGAGGGTTATTAAGGTTGCGGGCACCCGCAGCCCGGTGGACCCGGTCCAGGATTATCTCCGCAGGGGCTGTGTCACCGAGAAGGGGAGCACATATGGCCTGCACTGTGGCCTGAAGATTGGGAGCCTCAGTGGCTTCTGGAATGCCTCGGAAACGGAGGTTGTTTCTCCGACCCCTGTCCTCCATGTGGAGTTGGAGCTCGGTGAAGCGGTGGTCCGACCGCATGACCGCCATTTCAAGGGAGGCTACCCTAGTGTCTATCAAGGAGCCGGATGCCTTAACCTCCACAACCTCTGCGGCTAGGCCCCGAACCTCCCGTCTTACCTCACGCAGGTCTCTGCGCAGAGCGGTTTCCACCCGGGTGACCATGGCCTCGAAATCCTGCTTGGTGGGTAGGTATTTCAGGAGGGCCGCAGCTCCACGGGGACATCCGCAGGAAAGTCTGGGCCCGGGTCTCCGTCAGTGTCCCGATCGAGGTCAGGCAGTTCGGGGTATCTTGATCCCATTGGCGAAACACTGCGAGCCGGGGAGTCCCGTCCGTGCATCTGGCGGGGAGAGACGGGTGCAGACGCTGCGGGCGCCATCCATCCGTGGAAGTCAGGGCCCGAGGGGTGAAGAACCGCTGTACCGCCTCCTCTGCAGGCATCCCTTTGTCGCCTCCGTCCTTGCGGCGTTTAACATGCCGGAGCAGGGTCCTCCCGTGTGGGATTGTCTTTGTATAAAGTGCAAAATGTAGGTCGCGGCCTCGGAGCTCTCCTGATGTGCTCCTCACGCCGCCATGTCCAGGACACGCCCCCCGGAGTGCGTAGATAAGTAGGATGAGAACCATGAGAGAGCAGAGTCTTGTAGGCCAAGCGAGTGGAGTTTTCTGAGGAGCAGCGGGTGGTCAACAGTGTCAAAAGCAGCAGAGAGGTCTAATAGCAAGAGTAAGGAATAGTGGCCGTTGTTTTTGGCGGTTATTAGGTCATTGGTGAGTTTTAGGAGGGCTGTTGCAGTGGAGTGTTGAGGGCGAAAGCCGGACTGAAAGGGGTCCAAAAGATTGTTATTAGCGAGGTGGCAACTCAGGCGGTTGTAGATAAGGCGTTCTAGTAGTTTAGAGGTGAATGGGAGTAAGGAGATAGGTCTGAAATTATTGAGGTTGGTAGGGTCCAGTGAAGGTTTTTTGGGTATTGGGGTGACTAGTGCATGTTTGAGTGGGGTAGGAAAGATTCCAGTAGAGAGGGAAAGATTGAAAATGTGGGTAAGAGAGTCTAGGATAGAGCAAGAGGGTGACCGAAGTAGTTTTGAGGGAACAGGGTCCAGGGGGCAAGTGGTGAGGTGGGTGTCAGAGAGAAGCTTTGTAACTTCCTCTGTGTTGACAGGGTCAAAAGAGGAAAGTAACAAGTGTGATGGAGGATCAGGTACTATAATAAAAGGAGCAGTTGATTGGACAGTGGCGATCTGATCTCAAATGGTATCTATTTTGTTTTTGAAATGAATGGCAATGTCCTGGGCAGTGAGTGAGTTAGTGGGTGGTGGTGGTGGAGGACATAGTAGAGACTTGAATGTAGAAAAGAGTTGACAAGGTCTGGATGAGAGTGTGTTAATGAGAGTGACAAAATAAGTTTGTTTGGCAGCACGGAGGGAGGAGTTATATTTTATCAGGGCAGCTTTGTACAGGGTAAAGTCTTGCAGAGACCTAGTTTTCCGCCACAGTCGCTTAAGAGTGCATTGAAGTTGTAGCATTGAATATAAACAGCTTTTGGTGGGTGGCATTAATAGGGCCATTGATCCCCAAAAGCATGACCACTCACTTCCCTGCAACTCATCCTCGAGGTCTGGGATATCTCTCTCCCATTTCTCAAAAAGACTATTGTATTTGATTATCGTAGCTATACAGAAGAAATGATTATTCCAGTTAATTAAAATTAGACATTTTTCAATATGGTTGGAAGCTACACTAACAGGCATCTGGAATTGGGAACTAATTGCATGCCTCGGTTGGAAAATCCAAAAATCATACAGTTCAGTAGGCGGCGAGTAGTTTTGAGACATTTAACGCCAGCAGAGATCTTTCTTGCATGAGGGGTCACAGGGTTTTAATACCAAATCTGGTTGAAATGTGGTGGTCACTTCTGGGTTTTAGCAGATTAGGAGAACCGCCACCCAGTAATAATTCTGAAAGCACTGAAGCGCTAAGTCCCCCTGAGATATAGGCAGTTGTCCTAGCCAGTCTAGCTGTGCCCCCAGCCCATACAAAAGAAGAGATCACGCTGTCGAATAAAATTGCCTTACCAAAATTGGACAATAGAAGACTGGAAAAACTTCTGGTCTGACGAGTCTCGATTTCTGCTGCGATAATCATTGAATTTGGTGTAAACAATATGAAAGCATGGATCCATCCTGCCTTGTATCAACAATTTAGGTTGGTGGTGTGATGTATTGATGTGTGAGATATATATTTTCTTGCCACACTGTGGTCCCCTTAGTACCAATTGAGCATCGTTTAAATGTCATGGCCTACCTGAGTATTGTTGCTGACCATGTCCATCCCCTTATGACCACAGTGTACCCATCTTCTGATGGCTACTTCCAGCAAGATAATGCACCATGCCATAAAGCTCACATCATCTCAATCTGGTTTCTTGAACATGACAATGAGTTGATTCCAATGGCCTCCAGAGTCACCATATCTCAACCCAATAGAGCACTTTTGGCATGTGGTGGAACAGGAGATTTGCATCATGGATATGCAGCCAACAAATATGCAGCAACCGCGTGATGCTATAATTTCAATATGGACTAAACGATCTAAGGAATATTTGGAGCACCTTGTTGAATCTATGCCACTCAGAATTAAGGCAGCTGTGAAGGTAAAAGGGGTCCAAGCCAGTGCTACAAGGTGTAGTGTATATCAGCACAGAATTTGTCAATGTTCTATGCCATGGCTTGAGAAAAGGGTACATTAACAACACAATAAAGTATTGGTATTTGAAATTTCGACATATATTTGCATATTTTTATGCTAATGTCCTTATAAATGTGTTGGGGGAAATAGCCAATCACAAACTTTCTTGGTTCAAAAGTAACCTTATTCTAACTTCCTCTATACTATAGATTTATTGTGCAGGAAATTAAAGTGTTAAAATGCAAATCTACATCTTCATTATGATAAAATCACTATGCACATAATATGATTAAAACATACAGATGTAAGTTGGTAGATGTAGTTCTATTAAGATATGCATTTTTATGTTTTTTGGATGATAATGTCCAATTGATAATTAAGATCCTTTTAGAAACATGATTTGAACTGAGATTTTAAATGGCATTACTTTGTTTCATTATGCTGGTAAGCGTAAAGAGACACTGAATAGGCAAGGTGACAGTGGTTGCTCCTGATAGCCCAACCCCCAGAGATGTATACCTTCTGATCCAGATTCCATTGAATCACTTGCTCCATTGTTCTAATGGAGCTTGTAACTGTAAAATATTTATATTTATGTTTGCTTATTACAGCCAAGACAGCAGCCTCAAGCAAGTGCCAGTCCGTCCAGTGGGCGACCATCAGGGAGCAGTGAGAAAAAGAAGAAAGAGTCCAAAGAGAAGGAAAAAGAGAAGAACACATGTACACTCTTGTAATGGAGCTAGATGTCTTTTTAACAGTACGTCATGACAGTGGGTCCAGGAAAAAAGGAGACAACGGTTACAAGCCATCTGTGCCTGAAAACCCCCCGCTGTGCTTCAGTTTGTTAGGGGGGATTTGTTATAGACTTGGTACACTCATTACTTTTTTTTATTTGGAGTAGTGTGGTGAAACCATGTGTCCGTGTTACAATGTGTGGAGCAAAAGCACTAACGACATTGTCTATGTTTTGTTTTGTATCTGTTTGGCTTTCTTGATATTAAGCCATAATAAATTAGCCCAACTTTTTATACCCATGGGAAAGAAAAAAGGTTACCATTCTGGACTTGGGAAATATTGTAAATAACAGCAGGTCGTTGAAGGAAATCTAGAATAAAAGCATGCCCCAGCATGCTGTGTGTCTCCCAAGTGCTGGCCTTACTACCCTTATCCTGGGACTTGCGCTGTTTCCCCACAAGTTTCAAGTAAAACCCATCTTATGTATTTGCCCCTGTACATATAAATCAATTTAGACTTTTGCTCAGTGTAATTAAGGGATTATTTACTATTTCACTGTGTCATAACCTGGGCATTCTACCCAAAATATCAGGTTTTAATACTTTGTGACTGAGTACACTTTTTTAATATTTAGGACCAGTCTTTTTTGTATACAATGTTCTGTATGTGATATAATGGTAGCATAAGGAGCTTAGGTTGCATCTAGCCAATGAGGTTACGTAAGGTAAACACCTTTTAAACCAATAAATGAAAGACTGTTACATACTGCAGTAAGCACCGCTTGGTGTTGCAGCTCGGATGGGCCATTTTTTAATGAAGACTGAACCAAGCTGTCATTTTAATTTTGTGTGACTTGTTATACTTGTAGTGGTTCTGTAAGGCTGGAAGAGTGGCTGAAAGAAGAATGATTAATGTTGGTATGTATTTATATCGCCTGTAAAGCTTGTGTGGTCTTATTCCACATGTTTTATGACTGTAGACAATCAGTGTCTGCTCCAGTTATTCACATGTTTTGTGTTTTCTCACACTACTAGTATAGATTAGTTACAGGTAGCTGTCTAATTATGGGAGGACTTGTCCTATAGACAAATTCCCACAGCTCAACTAATTTTGTTATTGCTGTCCTTAGTGATCACTTGAAGCTCAGGCTAGAGCGCCCCCACTACTATGTCTGTGTTCTCCATAATCTAAATGGAATATTAATAGTGCCAGAGCACCAGAGATATAGCAGAAGCCAATGCTTGATATTAACCATACAGAATTTTCCATAAATTTGAACAATCAACTTTGTAAATGGACTTGCCTTTCAAGTAAATGTCATATGAGGTGAAGTTTCTAGACCACCAAAGTAGATCATTGCTTGTGATTTGTATATTTATGTATACTTTGTTAGAATACATGCAACTTATTTTTTTTTGTGTTTTGTTTTAAAGGAAGAATTCTTGATGAAAACAGGATATCCCAAATAAATGGCTGTTAATGTATCATATTAAAAACCTACGCCCAAGTCTGCTTTTTACAAAACTAACCAGTAGTCTTTTGTTGGGCAAACAAATGGTCCATTATATATTCAGAATAAGATGAATGCATTTATTGTTTTTTTTAAGGGAAATAGAGGTATTGGAAAGACATAATGTATGATAGAGTAAAATGTCTTTAAAATGAAGAAAATTAAATTAAATACGAAATTATACTACTCTTTATGGTGTTTCTATGTAATCCAGACAGGACACATAGAGAAATAGATCACTCACCTAGAAAGGGACAGGAATGAAGGAGTATAAAAGGAAAAGTACCATATACTCAATTACAGCCAGCTTTTGTCATTATTTAGGAATGGTATCACCCATGTTCTATCATACATGGGAATGTCATTACTAGCAAGTGTTATTTATCTTTTCCTTTGCAGTCTTGGCACACAATAGGAGATGTATTGTTACTTCATGTCCGGGTAGCAGAAACAAGGATTTATGTCACATTAAGCTGTTAATATTTAGCAAAGCTTTACCACATTGGAACTCTGCCGATCTGGTCATGAAAGACAGAGGCTACCTTGGCTCAGGATGTAGATACCACTCTCGTACATGGGACCTTTATTCCTATGGAACAAGCTTTCCAAATTTGGAGTATAGCACCAAGATAGCAATTTTAGATTTTAGTTATTTTTGCAACAAGTAACCTGGATACTTTTCTACTTGTTTTTTGCCCTGGTAGACAACAAATAACGTTTTATTTTATGCTATTTTTAGTGCAATCAAGGTAGTACAGTCCACATCTTCTAACACCAAGGATGTGATGCTTTCTTTTGAAGGGACTGATTAAAAAGGTAAGGCTGATTTCCTGGGCCCTGTGGAAATGTGATGGCACTTTAGGTAGGGATTGTATGAAAAGTATAAAAAATTTCGTCATGTGTTGGAAAACTAGTTTCAGAATGGAAAAATCCTAGATCTTCCTAGCAGTGATAGACAGAATCCAAATGACCTTTATTCTAAGCGCTTTTTGTGGTGCTACATCTAAGGCATGATTCTATGCAAGGCATGTTGGTCTTCGCTGACAGGACATTCTAGAGGCATCAGATGCAATTTCAGTTTAAAGCCGTAGATGGCAACTATGTCATGAGGCTGTAGATGAATAACCTTTCATTTACAAAAGAAACTTGAGCCCTCTGAATTCTAATATAGATCTGGTGGGTACTAAGCTTTTATGCAGAGTGTTATAACAGTATATGAGAGATCTCTGGCTTGGAGATTTATCTTTCAAAGGCTTCGCAGTTAAAGGTGCCCATACACTGGTCGAATTTCGGACGGTTTTTAATGTCCCGGCTGAAATTCGGCACAGTGTGTGGGGCTGTCGGCTCCCTTTCAGCTGGCATTCCTCGATCAGCTGATAAAAGGAGCTGGCTGGAAAATTTTGGATCAATCAGAGCCAATGAGCTGCCCATTCTGATCAGGTATTCTGGCAGGTGCAATGTAAACCGCTGGAAAAAAATTGATAGGTATATGGTTAGCCTTAGTGTAGGGAGTCCAGATTGGGATGAGTAATGGTGTCCTGGTGAAGGAAGCCCTTGATGCAGATGAAGGATCCAAGGTCTGTGTAGAAGATTTAACAAAGAAGGCATGGGTCGTAGTGTAGCTGACAGTATAACTTATGATCCTTCTGTCCAGGTTTTTTTTTTTTCTTTGATGTGATAAAATGCCCAAAGGAGAAACATTTATAGCTTAGACTTGACCCCTATTTTGTGAAAATTAATTCAAATCATATGGTGAGTCCTTTGGATTGAAAGCGAAAAACCTGGGAATGTTTTTTTTTCCTTATGATAAAACCATTTAGGTTGGGAACTCTCATTTGTAAATGCATTCTCTGCCTGGAAAGATTTGGAGGTAGCTTATAGGTCCTTGTAATTAGAGGGGAAATTTATAAATTAGGGCTTCCCAATGACTGGGTCCTGAAAGTGGCAACTACAAACATATGCAGGAACTCAGGTTTTCTAAGATAAAGTTCAGTCTTTCACCAAATGTAATGCCTTGATGTCTTTTTTGGATGTTAAGTGATTACCCAATGCTTTCATCAATCGCTTTAGGGTCCTTGCAATCAGCTACAGTACTGCTTAAGAATACAGCCCCCCTTCTTAGCTATGGGATCTTTTAAGACTCATATCATCAAAAGGCAAACCCTGATCTGTAGTCCTGGATATTGTTTTAGGAGTTTTATCCTAAAATGTAGTATATTTACTTTCAAAAGGGATAATGATGTTTGTAGGATTGTCTGAAAATGTACATTGTTCTAAGATTAAAGATTTCGTAATGCTAATGAAAAGACTGTCCTGTGAATATTTAAGACGTGTACAACTAATCATTTGTATGAGATGGCTATTAAGCTTGATGTATGCAAGGAGATTCCTCACATGCAATAATTTCCATAAGGAACAAAAAAACCTGTACTGTGGAAGGTGCCCTTGCTGACCTCTCTTTCTAAAAATGCTCTTTGCCTGGTTTTTATGTTGATCCAATGGCTTTAGTCCTTTCTGAGCCATAGTTTCTAAACAATTATGCCAGAATTATGAATTTTTAATCTGCATGCTTGTTCTTTGTCAGTGACTCCAACTAACTTCTTCATCCCACTGGAAACGAGTGATCACAAAAGATTTAAAAAAAGGACAGTGGTAGCGCTAAGCACCTCTTTATCACAAAGGATATATATTTCATCAGAAGCCAGGAAGTAAAGCAAAGACACCACCTTACTGCTAGCCACTCTGGAACCGGAAGAGAGCATTTGTCTCCCTTGGATAGTGCTGCACGCTGAAGCAAAATTGAAAAGGAAAGCATGCAGAGCCACTAGTCTGCACTGCCATTCTCCAAGAATTATCCAGGACGTTGGGCAGAAGAGACCGAAAAGCACATATGAACATCAGTAGCAGCTTTAGGAAATGTGCATCAGCAAGGTCTTCCCCTATGGAACTGAAGGCAAAGCATCTGGCATTGTGTGTGGTTAACCAGAACCTTCTCTGCTCACCTACTCGGAGGTTACCAGGTAAGAGAAAGAGGGTATGGCCTTGCTGTGACTACACAGGTAAATTCTATCTGGAAACTCGTTAAAGAGACTGTCCTCATGCAGGGTGCAAAGGGCATTCCTTAAACCTCCATATCTGCACTTCCTTACAGTTCCTTTCTCCTTTGCAGCTGGCACTGAAATCAGCAGTGTTGGCAACCATTGGGTTGCTGTGACATCACTTATCTGGTCACATACCAGTGCTCAGGTCTAGTGATTGGTTGCACAGTTACTAGGGAGCAGGTCACATGCTCCCCCATGCCGGAGGTGTTTAGTCTCTCGCCTACTGCAGAGGAGCAAGGAGTTGTGAAGGAACAGGTAAGGAAAGATTTGAGGATGGCCAGTGTTTTCTTTAAAAATGACAGAAGTCGACCAAATCTACCAATATTTAAAGGGGAAAGATAACCATTGTGGAATATATGGTTCCTGTCCCTTTGCTGGTAGGCAGTCCCCACTTTTCAATTTGTGTTGTCATAGAGTGTAGGAGACAGACCCTATCTGATGGGAAAATAATTTATAAATATCCAGTGCGTTCCTTAGGATGGTGTCACACTGGTGACACTTGTCCTGTTAGGAAAGATCTAATATACAAATAATCGAACTGCTCTTATGTTGACTTGTGGAAATAAAGCACTCCCCCATTATGGGTTAAACAGATTTGAAATGTTAAAGTTGAACCCCGTTGCTTCTACCACTTCTGTTTCAGTCTTAGGCGTTTCAGAGCCCGCAAGGTCTTAAAGACCTCTCTGTGCAACTGCTGTTCCAACTTTTTCTCTACAGTGGTTGGAAATACCCTGACAAGCTGTTTGCTCCCCTAAAGGCTTATTAGCCTTGTAACCATTTGGAAAGGATTAGGCAGTGACTACTATTCCAATAGAGGATGCACCTGTCTTTAAGAACCCAACCAATAAGTGGTTGGAAGCCATTTTCTAGAATGCTGTTATGACTGACAAGTCCTGCTCTTCAACCCATCTTGGCTGTGACTTTACAGACCTTTTAACTGGCCATAATCCCTTAACATTGATTTTACCTACTGTGGTTGATCAGAATGTGTGGACCAAATTGTTGTAGCCTTAAACTTAAGTTGTGATGATTTGCTGGAGGCTTCCTGGCTTATCTCCTACATGGGTCTCATGTCAGTGCATATGCGTAGAACACTTGGGCTAAAGTGTTGACTGAGAAACCTGACTCCAAGAAGTGTCTGGTCCGCATGAGGGACAACGTCTCTTCAGGATTTACTCTGGCCATTACCAAGGACGCTACTGGTGACAGGAGCACCCATCTTCACCAGTGGAAGAAGCTTAAGGAATAGACTGCAAAGTCTTCTCTCTTATTGTCTGTTAAGAAATGTCCCTTTTGTTTCTCCACTCCCGTGCCATCGTCAAGACCTTTCCTAAAAAAAGTTGTCTGTATGGGAGCATATGCTGCTCTAAAACCTGGATATATCTTTCAGCATTGATGGGACCTTTCCAGATGTGCAAGCTGCCCGTTCCATAGACAATACTGCACCTCCCATAGCATCAGAGATGCAGACTTTTGAACTGAGTG